TAAAAATGTACGAACGTCCTGAAATTCTATATACTTCTTTTAAGGTGTGAGGACACATCTGAAGTTCTTCAGATCTATCTATTTCCAATTTCCATGGAGTTCTGCAAAATCGTGGACTTTCGTACATGGCTTAGGTTTATTTTTGGAATTGAAGATTTTCCTGAAATTTTATGAATTTTCCTGAAGATCTCAAATTTTTCTGAAACTGTGAAGCTTTCTGAACCAATGAATGTCTCTGAAAATCTGCCAAATTTCTTGCAGGTCTGCAGATTTCATTTCTGAAGTTCTGCAAATACTTTTAAAGTTCTATTAAGTTGTCTGAAACTCCGTAGTTCTATTCTCAAGCTCTACGAATTACCTTGAGGCTCAATAAATTTCTCAGTAGGTCTGAAAACTTCTCTGATGTTTTGTAAATTCCTCTGTAGGGTCTCGGGCTCTGAAAATTTCTGAAGTTTTAAATGTTTCTTTCAAGATTTACAAGATACTCGGAAGTCGTATAAATATTTTTTTTTTAAATCACCGAACTTCCCTAAAATTCTGCAAATTTCACTGAAGATCCATTAAAATTTCTGAGATTTTAAAAATGTATCAGAAAATCTGCACACTTTCTTGAAGGCCTTTAAATTTACTTGAAGATCTATGACCATTCTTGTGATTTTTTTTTCAGAAGTTCTGTATTTTTTTTTCAAAGTTCTGTAGCTTTGTTTTGAATATCTACGAACTTTTCTGTTGTTCAATAACTTTTCAGTACATCTCGAACCTTCTGTGAAATTCTTTACATTTTACTGGAGATTTTTGGACTTGTCTGAAATTCTGTGAATTTATTTAAATTTCTGTAAAATTTTCTGAAGTTTTGTAGTTTTGTTCTCAAGATTTACGAACTACCCTGAAGCTCAACAAATTCCTCAGTACATCTCCGAACCTCTCTGAAGCTCTAAAAATATCTTAGAAGGCTCTCAGACCTACTGTCTGGCGTGCTTATTCTTATATAAAACATGCTGATTTGTTGACCTGGCCATGATCAAAGCCATTACGGCATCTTTCGACCAAAACCTTGCTGCTGGATGCCATCAAAACACAAATCAAGCGTTCTTTAGCAATTCAAATCTGTGAAATTTTAGAATTTTTTTTTGCTGAATGAGTCGAATGAAAATTAAACACAAACCTTTTTCGTTCGACAAACAAACGTCAAATCTAATCATCATATCGAAAAAGTGTGAACGCATCCGAACATTGCATCCGACAAAATTATCGAGCAGTCCGCTCGAATCAGACCAAGAAATCAGATCTAGATAGAGCTGGAATAAGGGCGTAACAGCCTTTGTAAACAATGACTTCTCTCGTTGATTAGTAACAATTCAAGGCACGCCTACACTAACCAACATATCCATCAAGCACGGGAACTCTTCCCATACTCGATGGTGATGTCGATTTGCCAGCGAGAGCCATGACTTTCGAGAAATCATGTTACGCCCTAATTCCAGCTCTATCTAGAGATAGTCTAAATGGACCTTTACTTTGCTCCCGACGAGTCCTGGGTATCTCTTTCTTCTGTTCGTCTTCATTTCCTTATTCCTTGTGTTTTTTCCACTTCTCCTTCGGCTTCTCGACGGTACGCCATCCGTATCCTGCTGGCTGTTTTGCTTCGCTTCGGCCAATGGTTTTGTAACAAAATGTACATTTGCCACCACTGTCCTTAATATTCGTGACAGGTTTTACGAAGGGGAGGGGAGTGGTGACATTTTTTAATGGGGGTCACCCTAAGTAACCTTTTTAAAACCAGCATAAAACGAGATCCATTAGACATAGAAAACGTGTATCTTGTGCAAAGTTGCTTCAAATAGCTTGTTCTACAAGTTTGGCTAGCATTATGCTGGTCTATTTCAAATAGCTAACAAGTTGATTTTTAACTCAATAGCCTTCTGGGCCACCCTAATTTCATTCACATCAAAAGATTGACCAAAATTAAAAACAAAAACATTCTAGAAGACACTATTTAATAAAATAGGCAGAGCAAAGTTAAAGCGTCTTTATTGAACGGTAGCTTGGTTAAAAGAGAACAATTCATCATTTAAAGAAGGCAAGGCCTACCACGATCTTAATATCTAGATTGTTAGGTGCTATGTAACGCATCGGTCGGTTGTCATTCAACACCTCCGCTCAACCGAAAAACCCTAGTTTGTTCCGCATTTCCTCGAACGGTCCCCTTGGCAGTCCTTTCGTAAAAATATCAGCAACTTGCTCAGTCGTTGGCTTGTAGATAATCTTGAAAAGACCATTCTGGATTTTCTCTCGAATAATGTTATACCGAATGTCGACATGTTTCAAATAACGGTATCGGATGATGATAGATGACTCCAAGTTCTTGAGCCAAATCGCCTCACACGCCGCTTGACTAAGGGAAATATACTCGGCCTCCGTTGACGATAGCGATACAGTCGCTTGCTTTCGTGTCATCCATGAAACCGTTGCTCGATAGGCTTGAAATACGTTGCCGGATATCGATCGTCGATCTTCTTGACTGTTTCCCCAGTCTGCATCTGCGAAACCGATCAGCGGTTGTTCTTCTCCATGTTGATGATAGACCAAACCCATGTTTACGGTACCTTTCAGCTACCGAAGTACACGCTTCAGGTGGCACCAGTGAGCACGTTAAGCAGCCAATGAGCTGGCGATATGGTTTCTTCATCACGTTCTCGTCCTTCCTAAATGCAAGCTTCAGATTAGGTTCAAACGGGGTTGCCACCGGTTTACATTCGGCCATACCGAATCGCTGAAGAAGATCCCCAATGTATTTTGGCTGGCTTATTTTCATAACACCTCCGCTCGAACCTCGATCGACCTTCAAACCCAGGAAGTGCTTTAGCTCTCCCATGTCCACCATCTCGAAACGCCTTGACATCTGGGATTTGATGGCTGTCACCAGACCCATCCGGTTGGATATAAGGATAATATCATCCACGTACAGCAGCAGGTAGATAACAAAGCCTTTCTCCTTCTTCCAGTACAAACAGCTATCCACATTGGATCGCTTAAATCCGAGGATAAGGACGAACGAATGGATTTGTTCGTTCCAACTTCTCGTTGCCTGCTTCAGGACATACAAAGATCTCTTGAGGCGACAAACGAGCCGTGGGTTCACGCTCTCAAAGCCCTCAGGCTGTCGCATATATATCTACTCTTTTAGAACACCATTGAGGAAGGCGGTTCTCACGTCCATTTGATGGATATAGTACCCCTTCTTGTTCGCCACCGAAAGCAGCGTTCTCACTGTGGTTACTTTGGCTACAGGTGCATACGTCTCGTCGAAATCGAACCCCTTCCACTGAGAATAGCCTTTCGCCACCAGTCGAGCCTGGTAGCGATCTACATTTCCAGCATCATCACGCTTCACCTTAAAGACCCACTTGCAATCTACGATGTTCTTTCCTGCCGGCTTCGGAACTAGGTCATTTTCCATTTGCATTTCCCTTCTGCTTGCGCTTGGCTCTCCCGTTCTTTCGCCGCTGAATTACGGAATTCTGGACAATCCACACGTTTGTGCCCGAAATGACCATATTCGAAGCTTTTGAAACCAGTCTTCTTCCCAGCGAAAGCCGACTCATCAGAATTTTCCTCCGAGCGGCTCGTTTGATTCGCACGTTTTGCAGATTCGTCCATCAGCCGTTTCTTGACGTACTCCGGGGTCAACGGGTCAGCTTGGATAGTTTTCAAAGCCGTGATTAACGCATCATAGGACTTTGATAGCGCTAACAGAAGCTGGCAAACGACATCCTCGTCCTCCGTTTTTACCCGGCAGCCTTCATCTCACGCACCACTTTCTCAAACTGCAAACTCACGTTTTCGCCTTCTTTTAGACGCAGCTCCTGGAACTGCATCTTCAAGTACTGCTTCCCGGTGATCCCAACCCGCTCGAACGTGTTCTTCAAAGCGTCCTAAGCTTCCTTCGCCGTCCGTTTGTCCTTCACGTAGTTCAGTTGGTCCTCTGCTATTCGGTTGATGAGCATTTTTTTGCACTTCCGGTATCTGGCCATGCGTTCTTCGAGTTTCTTCTTCTTCTCCGCCTTGACTGCCACGGTGTCCGCTTGGAGTTCCCTCGCGTACTCCTCGTCTTCAATGGCCTTCTCCAGACAGTCCAACACATCTTTGTCCTCCATTGGAACCTCCACTCGGAACTTCCAGTTTTCGAAGTTGCTTCCATCGAACAGCCACAACTTTTCTTCACCCATTTCCGCGAACAAACGAAACGAAACTTTTCAAATTTCCCTTCTACTCTGCTGGGCTTATAACCTAATAAAATAGGCAGAGCAAAGTTAAAGCGTCTTTATTGAACGGTAGCTTGGGTAAAAGAGAACAATTCATAATTCGAAGAAGGCAAGGCCTACCAGGATCTCAATATCTAGATTGTTAGGTTGCTATGCAACGCATCGGTCGGTTGTCATTCAACAGCATTTACCTTAAGATAATGGCTTGAGCGCAAACTCTAGTGACGTGCAACGTGTAAACAGGACATCACTCTTCACTTACAACGATATTCATTCGCCAGTCAACAAGCCCACATGGAACCATTATTCCTATCGATGCAGTAAATATTGATAATAGTTGTAAATAACATGTTTTTGTCCTGCTATTTTTCTCCCGATTACAATGATTGAGATCAAAGTTCGTTGTTATTTTTACCACCACCCAAATCAATAAATCAACAGACACGTGTTCAAATCAAATTCTGTAACAGAATGAACTTTCCCGCACCTAAATATAGAGCCGACAGCCTATCGTTCAATCAACAGTTCAAAATTCACCAGCTCAAATGAACTAATGAACCAAAATCTCCCGGCTTGCTGTTCCCTCTCTCCATTTGAAAGTTCATCCGTCATTCAAGGAGAGAGGAACATTTCCATGGAGAAGCGGCGTCCGCGTGTTTGCCTCAGCTCACACGTTGCGCCTACTAGGATACGCGCGCTTGCGTCGGGATTAAATACTGGCAGTTTTGCAACGTCCGCAGTCAGTCATTCAACGAAGCTGGTCGCGTTAACATCGCAAATTACAAAACAAAAAATAATCTCCTCTCCTCTTGATACAATTAATTAGAACGCGAATCTCCCACCATCAGAGAACGAGGAAGTAACTAGAGCTATAACTTTCTTCCCGTATCACAGTTCGTTCTTATCAGTTCGGGTGAAGAAATTCAGTTAAGAAGAAGTCGTTTGCGTGCATCGTGTCTGAACTTTTGACCGAAATTTACTTGTGACGTTGTTATATGTGAGTTGCAGAAGTTGTCGATTAAGCGATAGAAGATTAGAACTCTACAAGGGGTGAACTTGATCCACTGACAAGGCGCCGTGAGCAGGCAAGTTACGTTCCTAATCCGGGCAGTGTATGTGACCGCAGAAAGTGTGACGTTTCGAGCGAAGAGTTGTGTGAAATTTCGGCCGTGGTGAATGCGTGACAGACAGGCAGGATGCATTTGTCAAACGGAACGGGACTGCTGTTTCCTACGTTGATGTACCTGGCCAACTACAAGGAGAACGAGAGTCTAGTGACGCGGAATCCGGCCATGAACGAGGAGTACCGAGCAGGTGAGGGAATAAGTGTTCTATCGGTAGTTTTAAGGTTTTTGAGGTCCAGAATTTCAAAGCTACTGCAGTGAGTTTACAATGTAAAGCTAGTGTAGATGGTGATTCGAGTAAGCATAAGCTTTAGTTACTAGTTTAAAGTCAGCTTCAAAGCGGACGCGATAGTACTAATTGGTCTTTTATCAGCACTGCTAATGTTTACAAGCTCTTAAATTAAACCCTTTTACAGTCTTCATTCGCTGGTTTGGGTGTAACCTCACTTCATCTACCGATTGTCATTCGTCAGTTGGAAAGGGTTTTCATGCAAAACAGCTCAGTAGATCATTTCCAAGTATGAACAAAGAAAACAAGATGCACATTTCAAAAAGGTTCTCAACTGAGTTATAAACAAAAGAGAAAGTATATAAAGAGATTCGATCAATGCAAATAGGACCTTTTGAAATGTTTATCTAGAAATGTAAAATCTAGCTTGGAACAATTGTCTGACCGATAACTGCTTTTTAGTTGGGCGGACTTCAAACTAGCGAAATCCCAACAAAAAATCGATGAGAATCTGTAAGCATTTTGGAAAATATTAGCCAATATTTGCATGTGGTAGTGAGTCGTTCCTTTTCACGCATTTCACTAACACAAACATGGAAATTAATTCTATAGATTTATAAGACAAGCACTGCAAATTTTGACGATTCCTAAAATTTCTTGATGGTTCGTGAATCAACACATTTACGATGTGAAGAATTTTTCGTGCGGAAAATCTGACTTTGGAGGTTAAAGGACAATCCATAAATGGTCACTATCATGGCTGATTTTACAAGGCAACTCAGCCATTACAACGGCCATCTGTAGATCGAGTCAACGGCCATTTGTAGACGAGTCTGGACAACTTCTAGATCAAAATACTTTCAGGACAAACCCACTAGGACTGCAGGCTTTCAAAACGAGTCCAGAGTACTTCCAGAACACGTCCAGAACAAGATCAGAGGACTTCCAAAAGACTTTCACTACAAGTGCTGATAATCTTCAGAACAAGTTCGAAAGACTTCCAGAACGAGTCCAGAAAACTTTCAGAACAAGTCCAGCAGTTTTGCAGAGCAAGTTCAGATGACTTCTGATCCAGGGAACTTTCAGGGGTTTAAGTACAAGTTCTGAAAATGTTTGGCCCATTTCATGAAGGAGTCGCGTCCAGAAGGATTCCAAAATTAGGTGAAAAGCCTTTCAGGATACGTTAAGAGGACTTACAGAAGACTTCCTGTGCAGGTTCTGAAATCGTTTCAATGCAACTTCATAAAATTTTCAGATTCTTAAAATTTCGTGATAGTTCATGAATCAACACATTTACGATCAACATGTGAAGAATTTTTCGTGCGGAAAATCTGACTTTGGAGGTTAAAGGACAATCCATAAATGGTCACTATCATGGCTGATTTTACAAGGCAACTCAGCCATTACAACGGCCATCTGTAGATTCTATCAACCTTGTCCTCAAAAACCCTTTGAGTTTTATACGAAATTCTGAGATTTTTGTGGATTAATAGACTTGACTTCCGAGGCGTATGGGCAAGTGTAATGGCAGATGAAATGTTTCGAGAACTTTCAGGGAAATCTCTGAGGATCTCAGAAGTAAGCTTAGATAACTTCACGGATGAGTCCAGACCTGGGAAGAAAGTCTAGTGGATCTTGTGCAGTTTCAGTAGATACTAATGGTAAGTCCGAAAGAGTACTCTCCTGACAAGTCGAGGGGACTTCCAGAACAAGTTCTGAAGAGATATTGGAAGAGCCCAGAAGACTTTCAAAACGAGTTTAGAAGACTTCTAGTACACACGTCATGATAATTTTCAGAGAACCTTCCAGGACAGGTCCAAGAGACTTTCGGTACAAGGTCTGAAGATTTTCAGAACAAATCCAGGAGACTTTCAGATCGAGTCCTGAAGATTTCCAAAACTAGTTCAAAAGAGTTCCAAGGTACTCCCAGAAAACGTGATCTAGAAGACAAGTTCTGAAGATATTCTGAATGAGTCCAGAAAAAATATAGAACGAGTCTGGACAACTTTTAAAAATATATCTTCTAGGACAAATCCATAGGACGTCTAGCCCTGAAGACTTTAAAAACAAGTCCAGGGGACACCCAAAACACGATCATATGACTTTCAGAAACCGTCCAGTACAAATTTTGGACATTTTCAGAACATGACCAGAAAAAATCCAGAATGAGTCTGGTGAACTTTCAGAACTAAATCAAAAGACTACCAGGACAACTCAGCAGGACGTCTAGCACTGAAGACTTTAAGAAGACTTCCATAACTAATTCTGAGGACTTTCAGAACAAGTCCAGAAGAATCATTAGCAATTTCAAAAGACTTCTGTGATACACCCGCAGTACTTCCGGGACACGATCAGAGGACTTTTAGGAGATTTTCAGAACAACGACACCCAGAAGACTTCCTGTACAAGTGCTGAAAATTTCCTGAACGAGTCTGGACAACTTCTAGAACTAGATCAAAAGGCTTCCAGGACAAATCCACAGGACGCCTAGCCTTGAAGACTTTCACAACGAGTCCAGAGGACATCCAGAACACGATCAGATGACTTCCAGAAAACTTCCAGTACAAGTGCTGAATATTTTCAGAACGAGTCCAGAAAAAAACCAGAATGAAACTGGTCACCTTCCAGAACTAGATCAAAATACTTCCAGGACAAATACACAGGACGTCTAGCCCTGAAGACTTCCAGAAGACTTTCCCAACAAATTCCAAAGATTTTAAGAGCAAGTCCAGAAAAATTATTAGCTAGTTCAAAAGACGTCTATGATACACCCGGTGGGCTTCCGGGACACGATCAGAGGACTTTTAGGAGTTTTTCAGGACAAAGACATCCAGAAAATTTCCCGTACAAGTGCTGAAAATTTCCTGAACAAGTCCAGAAAAAGCCCAGAACGAGTCTGGACAGCTTCCAGGATATATCCACATGACGTCTGAAGCCCTGAAGACTTTCAAAACGAGTCCAGAGGACATCCAGAACACGATCAGATGACTTCCAGAAAACTTCCAGTACAAGTTACGAATATTTTCAGAACGAGTCCCGAAAAAATCCAGAATGAAACTGGTCACCTTCCAGAACTAGATAAAAATACTCCCAGGACAAATACACAGGACGTCTAGCCCTGAAGACTTCCAGAAGACTTTCCCAACAAATTCCAAAGATTTTGAGAGCAAGTCCAGAAGAATTATTAGCTAGTTCAAAAGACGTCTATGATACACCCGGAGGGCTTCCGGGACACGATCAGAGGACTTTTAGGAGATTTTCAGGACAAAGACATCCAGAAAACTTCCTGTACAAGCGCTGAACATTTCCTGAAAGAGAAAAAATCCAGAATGAGTTTGGACAACTTCCAGGATAAACGCACATGACGTCCAAAACGAGTCCAGAGGACATCCAGCACACGATCAGATGACTTCCAGAAAACTTCCACCACAAGTGTCGAACATTTTCAGAACATGTCCAGAAAAATTCAAAATGAGACGGAAGGTGTCCAGAACTAGATCAAAAGACGGCTAGGACACGTTTAGAGGCCTTCCAGAAGTTTCAGATGTTCAGAACGATTCATGAGCGAATCCAAAAGGCTTCCAAAAGTAGTCCAGAATACGTTCAGAAGACTGCCAGAACAGGACTTTCAGAAGACTTTCATAACTAATTATGAAGATTTCCACAACATGTTCAGAAGAATCATTAGCTAGTTGAAAAGACTTCTGTGATACACCAGGAGGACTTCCGGGACTCGATTAAAGGACTTTTAGGAGACATCCAGAAAGCTTTATGTACAAGTCAAGAAATAATCCAGAAAGAGTTTGGACAACTTCTAGAACTAGATCAAAATACTTCCAGGACAATTTCACAGGACAACTAGCCCTGAAGACTTTCAAACCGAGTTCAGAGGAGATCCAGAACACGATCAGAGGACTTACAGCAGACTTCCAGTATAAGTGCTGATAATTTTCAGAACATGTCCAGAAAAACTCCAGAATTAGTCTGGGCAACTTTCAGAACTAGATCAAAAGACTTCCAGGACAAATCCACAGGACGTCTAGGACACGTTTAAAGGATAGTAGTTGTAGATGTTCAGAAGACTTCCAATATTAGTCCAGAAGACTTTCAGGATACGTTCAGAAGACTGCCCAAATAAATTCTGAAGATTTTCAGAAGAATCATTGGTTTGTTCAAAAGACTTTCATGATACACCCAGAGGACTTCCGGGACACGATCAGAGGATTTTTAATAGATTTTCAGAACAATGACTTCTAGTACAAGTAAGAGATGAACTAGCCTCAGGCTAAAAATCTCTATAATAAAGAAAAAAAAAAAAAAAAAATTCTAGTACAAGTGTCCGAGTCCGGAAAACTTCTAGAAATAGATCAAAATACTTCCAGGACATATCCACTAGCCCTGAAGGCTTTCAAAACGATTTCAGAGGACTTCCAGAAGACTTCCAGAACACGATCAGAGGACTTCTAGAAGACTTTCACTACAAGTGCTGATAATCTTCAGAATAAGTTCGAAAGACTTCCAGAACAAGTCCAGAAAACTTTCAGAACAAGTCCAGCAGATTTACAGAGCAAGTTCAGATGACATCTGAAAATTTCCAGAACAAGTCCAGAAAAATCCAGAACAAGGCTGGACAACTTTTAAAACTAAATCAAAAAAATTCCAGGACAAATCCACAGGACGTCTAGCCCTGAAGACTTTCAAAACGAGTCCAGAGGACATCCAGAACACGTTCAGAGAACTTCCAGAAAAGAACAAGTGCTGACAATTTTCAGAACATGTCCTGAAAAAAATCCAGAATGAGTCTGGTTAACTTCCAGGACTAGATCAAAAGACTTTCAGGACAAATCAACAGGACGTTTAGGACACGTTTAGAGGACTTCCGGTAGCTTAATAAATCCAGAATGACATTAAATAGATTTTCAGAACAAAGACTTCCAGTACAAGTGCTGAAAATTTTCAGAACTTGTCCAGAAAAAAAAAATCCAGAACGGGTCTGGACAACTTCTAGAACTAGATCAAACGACTTTCAAAGCAAATTCACATAGACGTCGGAGGACGCGAGGACTTCCAGAAGATTCTTATGATCAGAACGATTCCAGAACAATTCATGAACTAGTCCAGAAGACATTCAGGATACGTTCAGAGGTCTGCTAGAATAGGACTTCCAAAAGACCTTCAGAACAAGTCCAGAAAAATGATTAACTAGTCCAAAAAACTTCTATGGTACGCCCGGAGAACCTCCAGGACACGTTCAGAGGACTTTTAGGAGAGTTTCAGACGGATTCTCAGAACTTCAGGATTTCCAGTACAAGTTCTGATAATCTTCAGAGCTAGTCAGAAAGACTTCCAGAACAATTCCAAAAAACGTTCACAACAAGTCCAGGAGGCTTTCAGATCTAATCCAGAAGACTTTTAGGGTTCAGAGATCCTTTAGACCAATTCATGATCGAGTACAGGAGAATTTCAAAATTACTTTCAGAGGCCTTCCAGAAAACTTTCATAACTATTTATGAAGATTTTCATACAAATCCAGTAGAATCATTAGTTGGTTCAAAAGACTTCTATGATACACCCGGAGGTCTTCCGGGTTACGTTCAGGGGACTTTTGGGAGATTTTCAGAACAATGACTTCTAGTAAAAGTGCTGAAAATTTTTAGATCGTGGCCAGAAAAAAATCCAGAACGAGTCTGGACAACTTCTAGATCAAAATACTTCCAAGACATATCAACTAGCTAGGCTTTCAAAACGAGTTCAGATGACTTCCAGAACACGTCCAGAAAACTTCCAGAACACGATCAGAGAACTTCCAGAAGACTTTCACTACAAGTGCTGATAATCTTCAGAACAAGTTCGAAAGACTTCCAGAACGAGTCCAGAAAACTTTCAGAACAAGTCCAGAAGATTTACAGAGCAAGTTCAGATGACTTCTGGTCCAGGGAACTTTCAGGGGTTTCAGTACAGGTTCTGAAAATGTTTGGCCCATTTCATGAACGAGTCTAGAAGGATTCCAAAATTAGTCGAGAAGCCTTTCAGGATACGTTCAGAGGACTTACAGAAGACGTCCTGTGCAGGTTCTGAAATCGTTTCAATGCAACTTCATAACATTTTCAGAGCAAGCCCAGAAGATTTCCAGAACGAGTTCCAGAAATTCTGAGAGCTTTCCAGAATTTTGGAAAGCTTGCCATAAGTTCCGAGAATTTTTCAGATTTGCGAACTTCTGAAAAAATCCATGCATTAACAACAAATTCCGAAAACTTTCCAAAAGTTCCAGAAACTTTACAGAAGTTCCTAAATTTTCCCAGATGATCTTAGAATTTGACTGAAATTCTATAAACTTCCTAGAAGATCCGAGTGCTTTGTGGAAATTCTGAGAGGTTTCCGAAATTTTCGAGAACTTCCCATTAGTTCTGAGAATTTCTCAGAAGATCGGAGAACTTCCCAAAAAATCCGTGCATTTACAACAAATTCCGAGAGCTTTCCAGAAGTTACAGCAACTTCCCAGAAATTACCAAAAATTCCCAGATGATCTTATAATTTCTCAGAAATTCTATAAACTTCCTAAAAGTTCCGAGTACTTCCCAGTAATTCTGAGAGCATTCCATAAGTTCCGAGAATTTCTTAAAAGTTCTGCGAACTTCTTAAAAAATCCGTGCATTTACAACATATTTCGAAGTCTTCCTCGCAATTCTTAGAGCTTTCCAGAAGATTTAAAAATTTCCAGAGTTTCTGGGAATTTCCCCAGAAGATGCGAAAATTTCCCACAAATTTCAAAAACTTCCCATCAGTTTCGACAGCTTTCAAAAGTTTTCGAAAGCTTGCCAGAAATTCCGAGAACATCTCAGATGATTTGCGAATTTCCCGAAAGATCCGAGAACTGACAAGAAATTCTGAGATCTTCCCAACAGTTCCGAAAACTGCCCAGAATTTCCAACAGATTCTTACAAGATGCGTGCACTTCGAAGAACATCCGAGAACTATTCGTAATTTCTGTGAGCTTCCTAGAACTTCCTTCCAAGAACTGTTCAGAAGATTTTTGAATTTCCCTTAAAAATACGAGAACTTCCCAGAAGATCGACGAGTTTCACAGAAATTCCAAGAACTCCTCAGAAGTTCAGAGAACATTCCAGAAATTCTCAGAACTTCACAGAAGATTAGAGATCTTTACGATACTTCAAAGAACGTGCCAGAAATTGCGAAATCTATGTCAACACTTGATCAGGTTTCAGATATCTTTAAAATAATTCCTGACTAACCTGATCTTATAAGCGATTGTCTGACACCTGCATTTTGAAGCCGCTGGAGATGTTTAGGATAATTCCTGATTCCTTACCTGATTGTTTGAGAAAATTATTCACAAGACTTTTCATGACCTGTTGGTCAGTTGGAGGTATCCATCTGAGGCACTCCATTTTAATTATTGATCAGTTAGAGATCTTCAAACCCATTCCTGATCCTCTTGTAATATTTCCCAAAAGAACTTCTTATACATTTTTGATCACTTGATCATCTTCAGAATAGCTCAGAATAGAATTTGACTTTCTGTGACAATATCTGATGGAGTTCGTTTGAGTTATTGATCCGTTGAAGATCTTCACAATAGTTCCTGATCATATTGTTGCATCGAAATAATATCCATAGAACTTCATTCAAATTTGTGATCAATTTCAGTTGTTAAGAATAATTCCTGATCCAACTGTCATCTTGACAGAATATCTGAGACACGTCATCAGCAACCATAGGCTCAGGACAAATATCTAGAAGATCAAATATGATCGCAAAGATCTCTGAAATTAACGCAAACGGAGTCCTAGCTCTGCTTTCGAAGTGCTTTGAACTCACTCTTGAAGCTCGATCAATCGGAATTGGTAGTTCTCTGAATGATCTGTGAATCTGTAAATGAGGCTCTTCGGACTCTTTTCCTAAACCTAATAAAGTCCTCCAGATCTACGCGGGAAGTTTAGAGGATCTTTGTAGGTGGGAGTTTCGGAATATCAGTCCCTTAATTTTCCAAAATTGTCACTGAATTAGTCACTACTGGAATTTTTGAAGTGATCGTGACGTCCAAAATGAATCTTCAAAATCTCCCTCCTATCATTCCAGACCCCAACAACATAGTGTGCTACGGAGTCTATGGATGCTTTCCGATCACCCCGCCGTGGACGGACGAGCGCCGGCCCATAGCCCTGTATCCGGAAAACCCTGCCAAGATCAACGTTCGCTTTCCGGTGTTCAACCAATTCGCCCGGTCCTATCCCAAGTTCATCAACCTGGACGATCCGGACTACCTGCACGAAGTGGGCATCAACCCGGCCGGAAAGATCTACATCATCACCCACGGCTTCCTGCAGACGGGCAGTGCCAAGTGGATCGAGCGGATGATCAACCTGATTCTGGATCAGGACACTGACGGTACGGCCACCTGTATTGTGATAGACTGGGGTGGTGGTTCAAGCCCACCGTACAATCAGGCCAGTGCCAACATTCGGCTGGTCGGAGCGATCGCGGCGCACATGATCTTCTTGATTGCGGTGAGTTGTTTTGAAAATGATTCGTATCGAACTCCAATTGAACTAACCTTTCCGACATTTGCAGGAAGAATTCCGGTTCAAAAACCTGGACAACGTACACATGATCGGCCATTCGTTGGGAGCGCACCTTTCCGGCTACACCGGATACTACCTGCAGAAGGACTTTGGTCTGATGCTCGGTCGCATCACCGGAATGGATCCGGCGGAGCTGGCATTCACCGAAACGAATCCGATTGTCCGGTTGGACACTACGGATGCCAAGTTCGTCGACATCGTTCACAGCGATGCGACGCCGTTCGTGCCGAAGATCGGGTTAGGATTGTATGAGCCGATCGGACATTTGGATTTCTACCCGAACGGAGGTTTTAAACAACCCGGTTGCGATCAGACTCTGTGGAAGCGGAAGGACGGTTCATTTATATCCAGCATGTATCAGTTCTTCAGCTGCAGTCACGTTCGATCGGTGGACTTTTTTGTCGAGAGCATCCGCACCAAGTGTCCGTACACGGCGATTGTTTGCGAAAGCTACGAGAAGTTCTTGGCTGGCGATTGTTTCGATTGTGATCGGGATGGGCATCTGTGTTTCCGGTTTGGATTCCACAGCTACAACAGCTATCGGAGTTTGAGGGAAGCCAATCAGTTGATTGGGAAGCAGACCATTCAGGCGTTCTTCATTACGGGACCGGGCGAACCGTACTGCAGGACGCACTACAAAGTGTTGATCAAGATGTCCGACACGGAGGAGAGTATTTTGCACGGGGGAGAGATCGGCCGATTCCATCTGAGTATCTACGGAAGCAAGGGAGATCACTCGAATAAGATGACATTCACCGAAGAAGCAGAGTAAGTTCTTGCTGTACGTTGCTGTTCAGAACTTCGTTTCTAACCTCTGCTTCATCATTTCAGATTATACGAACCGGGTCACAACTACACCCGAGTGCTGGCCGGTACCAGCGTTGGTAAGCCCAGAAAGCTGACGGTCGGCTGGGAGTACAACACCAGTTTCCTGAATCCGTTGACGTGGCGAATCTTGAGTTCACCCCGTGTCTACGTCGAGTACATCGTCCTGCAGTCGTTGGAGTACCGAAGTAAGATCCGACTTTGCCCGAACTACAACATGCCAGTCACGAGCAACGTGGACAGTATGTTTACGCAGGACAACTGCCGCTACTATCCGGAACCGTTGGAAACCGTGCTCAGTTGAGCAGTTTCGATTGTCAAGGCCTCTGAGCCACTCGCACCGCATCAATGCAACTTTACCAGTAAACTAGACTACTCTTAGAAAATAGCACTAGAATATTTAACATTGTAAGCATCCCATGTATTATTATAACGTACGTCAATCAAGCGGACCATGACAGTCAGTGGAAAGAACGAATCCCTCTCCCCTGCCGAAGGCGTCAAAGTCCAATGTTTTATTTTGTTACAACAGTGCGGGATTTCGTCATAATAAAGCGCCTTCAGAGATTACGAACCGGAGGTTGCGCGGCGAAAAGAATTGATCTTGGAACTCTGCGGGTACAAAGAACGCACTGATAAGCTCTGTCTTTTGTAGTTATCTGACATCAAGCGCCTGACGGTTGTTTACGTTGGCTCTGGGGTACGATGCGAGATGAACCATCCAAGCAATTGACCGTGGATTTCTGCGACCGAGAGCCGGGCAGTTTAATCCGGTTTCTGATCTGAAACGAAATTTTTCCATGCATCATTTCGGAGATACCGGAGGTCACTTGGGTCTGATGGTGGTGCAGACCTATCATGGTTTATTTTTGGGCATACTGACAGTATTTGTATTAGTTTCATCGTTCACTCAACTAAAGGGGCCATCCATAAATTACGACACGCATGGATTGGATTTGGATGGATTTCAGGGCTGTTAGCGATCAATGCATGGAATTTTGTTTTTCTTGAAAAAAAAAACCAGGAAGTCGTAGGGAATTTAATAATTTTCTAACAAAGGATAATCTATAGAAAGTAATGCATTTTAAAACACAAGCATTTAATTTTGCTAGATATTTTCATTCACACATTGAACTTTACAGAGTGGATTACATAATCGACAGTAGCAAATAAATTTTCTCAATTCAGAGACTTGAAATGTTTTTTTTTGGTTCTGGAATATGCACATTTGCCACACATTAGAAGTTGAACAAGTTTTTGAAATACTTAACTTTGAATATTAGAAAAAAACAAGGTCAAGGTAGTTCAACCATAGAGGTAACTCTAAGACTAGTAGGTCCCGAAGGAACGTGCTCAACTTTGCGGCTCAGCTCTGGTACTAACTTCGGTCCCAAGCTAATCGATGCACCCCTCGAAACATTGGAAAATTCACGAACCCCTCATTTTACCTGCCAAACTTCCATAGCGATCAAAACAAACATTGTGTATTACTAGAATTTTGACTAGAATGGGGTACGTTAATAGATTTGCTTGGGAACAATAGACTAGTCAAGTAGTGAGCCAATTTAAAATCGTTATTTTTCACCGCTTGGTTCTACGATTTCTGATTTCATGTGTAGCCTGAGATGGTTTTGAGTGAAATTTAAAGAAAACCCTAAAGTTATTTCGAAGTAAATTTTAATTTTAATGAAATTTCGTAGAAATTTCTAAGGAGCAGAACTCCTGTGACCGTCAGAGGAAAATTCCAATGGCATTCTGAGGATAATTTTATGAAGTTTGTGGGAGAAAATGAATCCGGAGCATTCATCCTTGGAATGAAAGTTCTGAGAATCTTTCCTAAAGTGCCATCCACATTAGATCCGTTTGCGTTGCGTTGACATAAATTTGACAGTTATACAATACATTTAGCGTCCGACCCGAATCTAATGTGGGCTACCCTTAAGGGTCTTTTACTTAGGAGAATGGCAAGGAAATTCTGAGGAAAATTAAAAAAAACTTGAATTTATAGTACGTTCAGACTACAAAGTTATAACATGTAATAGCGCTATCTTGATGGTGGTTTCTGTGTTGCAATTATTTGACAACCGTTATAACATGTTATAACTCTCCAGTCTGGACAGCGCTTTAGAGTTCTGTTGTATTTCTTCATTAAACAATTCGTTTTTTTCTTCACACGCGAACTTGGTACTCTTTTGAACATCGGTCTAAACGCTTTCTCCCCGATCAGAAGACGCGGAAGCTCAACTAACCGACCTGTTGCCGAGCTTTCTCTGCTCTCGCAAAACACGATACGCTCTATCGCGGCGCAACCCGAATCGATCAAAGTAGACCATTCTTTATTTTCGTCAAGCGGAAAGCTCATCGATCGGATTTTCTTTTATTTTTTATGAGCATCACAAATACCGAATCACACTCCACTGCGTCCTAGCAAGAAGTACGGTCGGCTTGTTTCGCGCTCCGTTAATTTGGAAGTTTTCTCGCTATTATCTGACGTAAATTATCAGTTTTTCTCGCTTAGTGATTCCTGGCATAATTCCCGATAAATTTATCAAAAAGTGAGTTTTTTTTCTGAGAAGAAAGTGTGTTTTCGGCATCATCAAAAATTGTTTTTGCGATTGGCAATTCACCAATCATTTTGCGCACCATCGGTGCGTGGTCACGCATACCTGTGCACACGGATCATCGTCATCGAGTGTCAGCATCTGCCTCCACATTCAAACCGCTCATCCATCATCGTGTGTTCAGCTGAGTGCTGAGCTTCATACAAGCACACACCAACGAAGACCGCCCGCACACGCGGATCGAAGATCATCAAAGCTGCGCGTCGCTCCGCTGCTGTGTAAACGCTCGGTGATAGTAGTATAGGAATATCAGATAAGTTTTTGTTTCTTGTTTCTTTCTTTCACCCATCTGTTAAATTTTAAGTTTGTGTTTCTGTGTTAGTATTTTTTTCTTCGTGTATTGTGTCCGAGTAATTTTGATTATCGTTGCAGTGGTAGAGCGTTTTTCGCTCCCACTAGTACGGCAAAATGGACATTTTGTCGGAAGACGAAATGGACGTTTTGTCGGAAGATGACACCACTTTGCCACGCGATAGCAAGAAGGGTCGAAAACGTCTGTCATCCCAGAAATCAGATGATGCTTCGTCATCTCAGTCTGGTAATGGACAGGGACAGATAAGCCCCCGATCGCGAGCCTACCCAGAAGACTCGACTGGCCCATGGGTTGTTTACTTTCAGCCCAAAAAGAAACCTTTGAATGTAATGCAAATTACTAATGATCTGACGAAGCGGTTCTCGGCCGTGACCGAAATCTCGAAGGTGAGGTACAATAAACTTCGCGTTGTCGTCTCTAACCTGAAACAAGCTAACGAGATTGCTGCCTCCCAGCTCTTTACACTCGAGTATAGAGTGTACATCCCAGCTCGTAATGTGGAGATCGAAGGTGTGGTCACCGAAGCGAGTCTGACCCCCGAGATCTTGGCGAAGCAAGCGGTTGGCCGTTTCAAGAACCCCTTGCTTCCCACGGTTGAGATACTGGAAGTCCAGAAGCTGAACTCAGTATCTTTCAGCGAGGGTAAAAAGAGCTTTACCCCCACAGACTCGTTTCGGGTGACCTTTTCTGGTTCAGCCCTTCCTCACTACATCGAGTTGGGAAAACTTCGGCTACCTGTGCGTTTGTTTGTTCCTCGGGTCATGAACTGCCAAAACTGCAAACAGTTGGGACATACGGCCTCTCACTGTGGCAGCAAGGCACGCTGTTCCAAATGCGGGGAGAAGCACGAGGATGGCGCCTGCACAGTCACTGCACCAAAATGCGTGTACTGTAAGGGAACTCCTCATGGTCTCTCGTCGTGCCCGGCGAACAAACAACGCGGGGAGAAACTAGAACGCTCTCTTAAGGAGCGTTCCAGGCAGTCTTTTGCAGCCATGCTAAAAACAGCAACACCATTAACCAACGACAAAAATCCCTTTGCTGTTTTGTCTGATGACGAGTCTGACTCTGACTTGGCTGAGGAGGGAGTTTCTTTCAGTTTTCCGGAAGGTTCTGCACGGAAACGAAAACGCATCCGTTCGCGGAAAGTTGCAGATAAGGAACCCCAAATCAGCTTACCCAAATCAAGGAGTGATGGAAAAAAGGAAGTTTCAACTCCTCCTGGTTTCCGCAGAACTGACTATAACCAGAATTTTCCATCTCTCCCGGGGACATCAAAAACCCCTGATGGCCCATTTTTAAGAACAGAAGCCCCTTCTTCATCCGCGTTGTTCTCATTTGATAAAATTGTGGACGATATTCTCAAGTACCTCAATATTTCTGATCCTCTCAAAAGCATTGTTCTGGCAATGCTTCCTTCTGTGAAGACCCTCTTGAAGCAATTGACATTGAAGTGGCCCCTCATTGCAGCAATCATTTCCTTCGATGGATAATTTTCCAAACGAGGTCGGGGATTTGATCACTATTCTACAGTGGAATTGTCGAAGTCTCATTCCTAAATTAGATTCTTTTAAGTTTTTAGTTCACAATAATGATTGTGATGCATTTGCTGTTTGTGAAACTTGGCTCTCTTCAGATATCGATCTTCCTTTTTATGATTTTAACATTATTCGACTGGATCGTGAGGATTCGCGTGGAGGAGGAGTACTTTTGGGGATCAAAAAGTGCCATTCCTTCTATAGAGTGAACCTTCCACAATTTCCAGGTATTGAAGTTGTCGCATGTCAGGCTATTATTAAAGGTAAGAGCCTTTGTATTGCTTCTGTTTATATTCCTCCTAGAGCCGTTGTTAATCGAAAACAACTTTCAGATATCTGGGGGGAACTGTATGATGACAACCGTTCTACTTTGATATATGACCTCTGCGACAGCTTTAATATGACAATTCTTAACAATGGAGAAGTAACACGTTTGGCTGGCCCATCCTCGAATGGAAGCAGATTAGACCTCACACTTTGCTCTAACTCATTATCGTTAGATTGCACTTGGAATGTGATCCAAGATCCCCACGGTAGTGATCACTTGCCGATCAAAGTTTCAGTTGCCAGTGGGTTCAATCCGTCGGAACCCGTTAACGTCGCGTACGATCTTACCCGTAATATCGATTGGACAAAGTTCAAGAATGTGATAGAAGATGCCCTAACGTCGGTAGAAGGGCTTCCACCGTTGGAGGAATATAACTTCCTCTCCAATCTGATCTTGGACAGCGCGCTTCAAGCTCAAACTCGGCCGGTTCCAGGAACGTCTTTCCGTAGGAAACCTCCTTCCCCTTGGTGGGACCAGCAATGCACTGAGGTTTATCGTAAAAAGTCCGACGCGTTTAAGCTTTTCCGGAAACGTGGAACACCCGTACATTTCGAAGCATACTCGGCTCTTGAACACGAACTCAAGAGCCTCATCAAAGCCAAGAAACGCGGATACTGGCGGCAATTCGTGGACGGATTATCGCGCGA